ACTTTCACCTTGGGCTTCACTGAGAGGGAAGGAGATGGAGAGAATGAGCTGGGAGAAAGAATGATTCCTTCACCAGGGAAAGTTTTCTCCCCCCAACCCCTGCCTGCCTCAGTTTCTCTCACCCCTGAGCCTTGAGTTTATTTAAATCTTTACTTTGATGCCACTATAAAATCACTCTGCTTTCTCACATGCAGCACACATTCTTTTCCCCAAGAACAGGTAACTGGGCTTTGCAATGTGAATCTTAACTGAAATATACGGTAAGAACAGTTTCTGAGCAAATGCGTAAGTCAATCTGCAGGGACTTTCAAGAAGCAGAGCAAGTGGTAACCTGCTGCTACTTGGTTACTTATGCTAAGGAAATGTTTTTGTTTTTTTTCCCCCCTGCTGCATGTTGTTGTTGCTGCATTCTCTGCTGCATGTTGCATTCAAGATTTTTTTTATAATTAAAGCTAAACTTTAATTGCAGTTTATTTTTCTTAGTTGCAAATGACCTGAATCCAGAAGTATCTTTCAAAGGCTCTGGATTCCTTTTTTCATTCAAGATGTCAGGGGGAGACCTCTCCATTTTGGAGGCCAGGCTCTATGGCTACAGCACCAAGTGTCCTGTCCTGACTTAATGGTTTCCAGCTGTGGACAGCCAGGGGCTTTGCTTGGGAATGCCAGAGAGTGGCAAAGATATCCCAGGTTTGGGACCTGGCCCTGTCCCCAGGAGACCCCATCATGTGTCTCATAATTAGAGGTTCCGGTTTCCCATTTGCTGCAGGAAAATGTTGATGTTCTCCTTTAAAGGAAAAAGGTGGCTCGGTAGAGGTGCAGCCCTGCACGCGAGTCTCCCTGGTCTGCTACTCCTCACCTTGCTGGTGGGGCAGTCTTACTCCACGGTGGCAGGGCTGGTGCAGAGGTGTTGGCGGCAGCGGCCGCAGTGACTCTTGCCACCCTGCTCCACCCTCCTGTGCCAGGTCCCACCCGCTGGGCCACAAAGGCAGCTCCTGCCTGGTGGTGGTCTGGCGAAGCTATAGCCTCACGCCCCGCTGTGGGCACACAAATCTGGGGGGGCATGTCCCCCCCATGACATCCCAACTCATCACCTATTCTGTTGCCTATGGTTGGGCACCTCCCCTGCCCATAGAACCCCCTTCCCAATATACAGGGGGGGCTGTGGCCTGTGGGAGGGGGAAGTGGATTGAAAGTGAGGGGCACCAGCAGGACTGAGGTGCGTGGGGGGTTACCTGGAGTGAGGGGAACTGGTAAGGATGGGGGCTGTGGGTCAGGAGTGTGGGGCACCAGCAGGAAGGGAGGCCTGAGGATTGGGAGTGAGGAACACCAGTGGGGATGAGCAACTGTGGCTCAAGAGTGAGGGGCACAAGTGGAGATAGGGAGGTGCGGCTCAGGAGAGAGGGGCATTGGCAGGGCTAGTGGGCTGTGGGTCAGCAGTGAGGGACATTGGTCAGGATGGCAGGGTGCAGGTCAGTTGTGAGGGGCACTGGTGGGGACAGTGGGCTGTGGGTCATGAATGAGGGATACTGGTGAGGATGCGGGGTGCAGGTCAGGAGTGAGGGGTAACAGCATGACTGGGGGGGCTGTGGCTTGGTAGCGAGGGGTACTGACATACCAGGGCTGCTCAGTAGCACAAAGCAGCAGGGGTCTGGGGAAGGGGGCAGGCACAGCTGGAGCCACATCCTGGTGAGTGAAGGGGGCAGGGGAAGCTCTGATTTTTCCATGATTAATGACCAAAATCAAATGTCAAAATATAGAGGTATTTAGATGGTATTTCAAGGTAATGACTGAGGCACTGGCTGATTTCCAAATTGGTTTAAAACTAAATATCTCAATAAACCTTGTTTTCAGCTGACACCTCTATATACAGCGGAGTTTCAGTTTAGTCATGGAAACAGATGGATTTGGGTTTTTTTAATCACAGAAGCTGGGATTTTTAAACACAGGACACCAGGATCCTGCTCATCTGGATGAGATTCCTGTTACCCCCTGAATGCAGTGACTTGCCCCATGCCAAGAACAACAAGCTTGTCTTCTCAGAGACGAGCAAGACCCTTCTGGTTTTCTGCCCTGCTGGAAATGGGACATTCCCCAGGATCTGGGCAGGGAAAGCTGTCTGGGGCCCAGGAAACCCCCAGCTGTGGTGCCCCCTCCCACACCGCAGGGACCTGCCCCCGCCCCAGGGAAAGGCTCCACGGGGCTGAGTCCCCTGGGCCCTGCCTGTGGCGCGAGTGCCCTGCCTGCACCCACCTGCAGGGCCTTGGGCAAAGCTCTTTGCAGGGACTGGTTTCTAGGGCAGGGAGCTCTGATCTCAGTCACTGGTGGATGCTGCGCAGCCGGCCCCGGGACCAGGGCCCACAGCCACTCCCCACCCCGTAGTTGTGTCGGCAGAACCTGTCCACTTCGCCCCGCCTGTACTCCATCAGCTCCTTCTGGCTGGTTCAGCACCT